GGAAGGGAAGGGAAGGGAAGGGAAGGGAAGGGAAGGGAAGGGAAGGGGAGGGAAGGGAAGGGAAGGGAAGGGGAGTATCTGTACCTAAAGAACTCCCAAAGGACCTCTCTGTCAGAAACCATAGTCACTTTACATGAATTCCTATATTCTTCTTACTGTCAGCCTTATCAGGACTGGGAATTTAAAGAATGCTCAATGAAATTAGGTACTCAAAATCCACACAGGGTGTAGACGTATGTACATCTTCTCAGTAAATGCTTCCTAATGCTGAAGAGCTCTGTGCAGCTATGCTGGATTTTTCTCAGTTAGGAGCAAGACTGCATGTGCAATGTATCAGATGCACCATAGTATGGCATTCAGGTCTCAAGTTCTGCTAAAAAAGGAAAGCTATGCAGAATACATGGTAATTAAATGAAATTGTCTGTTTGTCTCTTTGGTCTTAAAGCTCGTGCATATATTTTTGGGCTTTGGAATCAGACAACAAACTGTTTCTACCTTTGCATGTTGTCCTACAGTCAGGTGTTGCTTTTGCTTAAATTACAGATGGAAAAGAAAATACAAGGGAACTTATCAGACTGGGAATATTCATAGAATATCCACTCAAACATAATACAATTTTGTGTCTCTAAAAATTGCCTCTAGATGTTTGTGCATATATTTTGTTGAAGGCAATTATTGCATCATGTCATGCTGCAATATTTTCTGCAGTCTTGATCCAATTCAGTAAGTCCAGCTTGACTCATGGTGACACCTAGTCATCACTGGAATTAGGCTAGCTCCTAGGTTGAATTGCATTATAGCACTAGTTTACCTATGTAAAAATAGAGTGAAAATGTCACCTTGCAGTTGACAAGATAGTGTGACAGCTACGAAGACCCTGTTTTTAATCTGAGTTGTACCGACCATTCAGTAAGAGACTCCAGCAATTCTGTTCTTTCATTTTGTAACTGTGTTGTCTTATCATAGATAAAACATTTTAAAACAATTCACACTTTGTTTCCAGAGACTGTTACTATCTATCTTGCCTCCTAAATTTGCAAATAATGTTTAAAAATGAAAACTAACTAAAGTGTGATCCACGGACTGGACACTCTCCATTTAAGCCTATATAGAGCATGTGATGGTTTGAAATAGCAATCTTTTCTCCATCTTTTCAGTATCTCAGTGTACCTTAGACCTTATTTTTTCCAACTACCTCATAGAAGTGAATGGGCTTCCTTAGACCCTCTGGCTAATAAAGGAAATCTGAATAAAGACATGCTTGTAACGTAAGAAATATCCGGGACATATATAGGTCATATAAATGAATCATCACTTAAAATTAGAAAAAATTATTTCCAGCAGTAACATTGCTCATGACATCCTATTTTGGCAGCAAAAAAATTTCACAAGATATATACTTTAAAACACTGCACAGCTCTCTCCCACCTAGTACTTGAGTGCCTTCCAGTAACACATTAAGTAATATGACTAATGTATGTCTCATCTTCATTCTTTTACTTTAAGCTGAAATGTTACATTATTTTTCAAAAACTACCTGCAAGTTGATGAAATATCATTTTTTCAATGAACATAAAGTTTTTACATTACTTGGAAGACTGTGGAAAAATTCAACCTTTGCAGAAGCACATACAGTTTCTCCTGACATAACTGAACAAGTACCTAGTTGTGTTAGGACAGTTTCTATACTTAAGCATTGCAGAGCAGACTCCTTTCTTGATATATGGAAGATTTGCAGACTAAAAATCAAGCAATCATTCACAGTAGCATTAATTTTGCTGGATGGGAGTTGATTGAGAATTTCTCTAATTAGTACAACATGGGAGATCTCTTTCTGTCTGGAACTAAAAAGGTATCTAATTCTGTAGTTGTTGATTTATTATTCTGATCCTATATAGGGTTACTGATGCAGATAGCTCTCTTAAACTATCTGTCTTTTGTATCAAAGTGTACAGAAGACTAACGGTCTAACTTTTTAATGGTATAATTCTTCTCGTTTCCTCTCAGGTCTCTTTCAACTTCTCTTCAAGAATATTTCCAAATAAATATTCAGATTTATTTCTGTGGTTTTCTTCTACATTGTAAAAAATTTAATCAAAACAGAACTTCTAAAATCATTACATTTCAGTTAAATCATGGTATTAATGATTTTACTTTTAGCTTAGAATATTTAGTATGCTGGCTATGGAGGATATTGCAAGGGGCAGGGATTCCTATTCAAATAGCACACGAAGAAGAAGTGTAACTACCCTCACCGAAGTTCTTTTAAACATGTTTTTCATGCTCAGTGTTATTGGTTCTACATCTTTCTACGTTGTTGGGGAATTTAGTTTATGCTCTATTATCCTTAACCTGTAAATAAAGCATTTTCCTATCCTAATGATGAATTTCAATAGTAAAGTGCTGTGGTAACAACATATTCATACAAACTGTGATATATTAGGAATGCAATTAGAAAACCTTTCATACCTTACTGTTATAACTGTTAACACCTGCTTTTTTTCCCTTCAGAGTTTTTCCGAGAACTTCTGGAGAATGCAGAAAGATCCTTAAATGACATGTTTGTTCGGACATACGGCATGCTGTACATGCAAAACTCTGAGGTTTTCCAGGACCTCTTCACAGAGCTGAAGCGGTATTACACAGGAGGCAATGTGAACTTGGAGGAAATGCTGAATGATTTCTGGGCTCGGCTGCTGGAGCGGATGTTCCAGCTCATAAACCCCCAGTACCACTTCAGTGAGGACTACCTGGAGTGTGTAAGCAAGTACACAGACCAGCTGAAGCCATTTGGAGATGTACCCAGGAAGCTGAAGGTTCAAGTGACTAGAGCGTTCATTGCTGCACGGACCTTTGTTCAGGGGCTGACAGTAGGCAGAGAGGTTGCGAACAGAGTATCCAAGGTAATCTAAAATCAAGGGGTTTTTTTAAGCTTGAATTTGTTCTATACTTGCTAGACAATTGAAATCTGGTTGTATGCTTTTTTTTTTTTTTTCAGTATGAGGCGGTATGTCTGGTTGTTTTTTATGTCCACTGGTACACCCATCCCAAGTTTATAAACAGAGGCAACAGTTGTTTTTCATTCTTTCTGGGGATATTAAGGCAATACTGAATGACTGGAAAGCATTTCTTTGTGCTTAAGACACAATGAAATACTGATATAGATCAATGCTTTAGCATGGTAGTGATTGTCATTTGTAATTCAAAACTGGCTACATATATATAAGATGGGGATTATGATCAGAATTTAAATGTTTCAAGCAAATTTATGCTGCTGTTCATTAGGACAGTACAGCCCTACAGAATACATTCATCATGCAGCTGGGTGATGAATTTTGTTAGAAATGTCTAGTCATGTTTCTGATGAGAAAATAGACAAACAGTGACACCTCTGGAGCTTGAGCTTTCCCAAAGGATGGTTTGACTCACATTTATTTTAGTTTCAATTATTTATCTATGCAAATATTTTTGACAATTATAATCCTTGAGGACTTCACATAATTAAAGCTATGTAAAAAGAAACACATACAAAAATAACCCATCTGGGTACCACAAATGTGCCTGAATTACTTTTTCTTGTACAGTATTTCAAACTCAATTATATTTTACTTAAATGCTATTCCAACTGGATACTTGTTCTGTGATCTTGCCATTTCACAGTCCTCATAGTGTATTTTGACCTTGAATTCTGAAATTATCTAGTGAGATCCACTGTGAAATGCTTAAACACTCACTTTTGAATATAAGTGCCTGAATGACTTTGGTGGTTGACCCATCCAATACTTTACCTCAAGCAGACTCATTTTATTCATTTAAATCACAACCAGAAAGTAAGGTAGAGCCGATATATTGTACAGTAGACTTCAATTCAAGCACTCAAGAAGATGAGCCTTCTATACTTTTCTTAACCTGTATTATGTGATATTTTGCAATTACAAATTAAGAAGCCATGGAACCAGAGAAGGGCTCCATGTCATGAAGGTAGAGCCTGATTTTATGCTTCAGAAACTGCATTGGAGAAAAAGGTTATTTTGCACTTAAAATTTGGTGAGTGAAATATGTGATCCTGGTTAGTCAGCTAGAACCAAAGTCTTTTCCCCCCAGGTGCCTTCCTGGGCTATGGTGTTGCCTTCCTTTGTTTTCTGGCACTGCCAGGTCTTGCCATCCTTTTTGAACAGTGGCAGAACCTCAGCCGGAAATCTCAGACTGCCTAGTCTGGCTGAGGGCAGATATAGCTTTTTAGCCTTCAAGGGTTCAGAATGCATATATCTACAGCCCCAGATTTCCTCTGAAGAGCGATGATGTCCCCATGGGTCACTTTTAAGTGAAAGTGCTGAACTCTGATGTCACTGTTGTCAGCAGAGATTAAGCCTTGCTGCATTAACTGCATCAGACTGTAGCGAGTTAGCTATGTAATTCATATTATTATATGTATAATTTGAGAATCGCTCACAGATTAAGGTCTGAATTGTCTGCTGAGATGTCACTTTCCCTGTGTACATACATGACTGTATAGAATGTGCAAGTGTCTACTCTCACACATCCAGGCAATGTTTCCATCTCAACTTCTGGGTTTTGGGTACATAAGCTCTTTCAAGATCAGGATTTATAACGAGATCACTAAGTGATCCTATGATCCTGTAATGAGAACTACTAGCTCTGCAATCATAAAGTAGGCTTTTTGTAGTGTCACTTGAAGATGATAACAATAGCTCAATAACGCTTCTGGTTTTTTCTTTTAACATGAAAGCAAGACTTGACATAATCTTTAAAAGGACTCAGTGGTTTGGTGCAGGATACACATAGTGATACTCTATTAGACTGCATCTAGAATACTGTGTTCAGTTTTTGGCCCTTCCTGTACAAGAAAGACATTGACAAACTGAAGTGAGTTCAGTGAAGGCAGCCAGCATGATCTGGACTGGATTATTTCTCCTCTGAGGAGAGGCTGTGGGACTGGAGCTTATTCATCTTCATCAGAAGAGGGTGCTGCAAGGGCACTTAGCAATAGCTCCTGGTGCTGGTAGGGAGGTCATTAAAGAAATGCAGCAAAATTCTTCACAGTGGGTCATGGTGTGATATGATGGGCATGAATTGAAGCACTTCCTCTTGTCCTATCATAGCAAGCCCTACTAAAAATCCCATCCCCATCTTTCTTATAAGTCCCCTTTAAGTACTGGAAGGCTGTTAATAAAGTCTACCTGGAGCTTCTCTTCTCCAGGCTGAACAAGCCCAAATCTCTGAGCCTGTCACATAGGAGAGGTACTCCAGCCCTCTAACCGTCTTTGTGGCCCTCCTCTGGACTCAGTACAACAGGTCTACATCTTTCCTATGCTGAGGATTCCAGAGCTGGATGAAGTAATCCAGATGGGGTCTCATGAGAGCAGAGTACAGGGGCAGAATCACCTGTCTTGACCTGCTAATCATGTTTCTTTAGGATCATTATCCTGTGATCCTATTAAAAGATTAATAAAATGAATATTTTTTATTAAATGTAGAATATGCTTTGATTGCAAGAGTAATTTTTGTATTAAAATCTCAGTGTCTGTATTCAGTCCCAGAGCAGATGATAAACAACTGCTGAGTTTGGGACTTTGTGTTACATGCAGCCTGGTGAGGCAGATATGAAGAACCATAAGTGGCACCAAATGTTCAAGATTAATAATTATCCTGTGAAAAGGCTGTGGTTATTCTGAGAATGAAGCTTTTGTGTTCATATTATAACTGTGATTTTCTTGCTGGTTTATCTACTATAGAAAATGACAAATCCTTTTCTTTAATTTTAAAAGACTACAACCGTTTCTTGGAGTTAGCACATAACTTTGCAACATAAAATGAGGCAGGTAAACATCTTTTGTTGCTGTTTTGGAAGTCATCCAGATTAGCATGGATTTCATTCTCATTGTACTCTAAATATTGAGAGATTCTGTGATAAGGATGCCACATCTGGGTAAGTCAAGAGAAATTAATAAAAGAGAAAATGAAAAGTGGAACTGTTGCAGTTCTTTTGCAGAAGCCTTTGTCCATTGTCTGGTTGGGAACAGAGGGGGATCTTCTAGCTGCAACATCACAGGCTTAAAAGCTTTCTCCTTTCTATTTGTGGACCCATTATCTCACTGAACTGCCACTGCTACAGAGAAATGTTGAGCCTACACCTTAAACACCATGAGGAGATTCACTAATGAGAAAGTTGGTAACAACATATCCTTCAGGCCTTTAATTTACTTTTTCATTGTATTCTGGACCATTTCTGTAGAGGAGTTGGTGGGTCACACATGCAGAAGGATTTTTTCCCTCTCTAATATCAGGGACACATCCTTTTTAAAGATTTCTCTTCAGAGAGGTTATAATGTCTGAAAACAATGCAGTCAGTGTATTCCTTGCAAAGGAGCTACACTCCCCTCTTTTTCAAATTAAGTATGCACTCAAGCACACTAAAAGTAGGCAAAGTGTTGCAAACATTTTCCTCTTGCAGTAGTATTTTTCAATTTTGTAATTTCCTTGTCAGTGACATTATAATTTAATAAGTCCCATTTAGATAAATGAGGAAGGATTGTGGTTAAGACATCTTATTTTTGTAATTTTTTTCTGTTGTATTTCAATTGTAAGCAGACATAGTTGCTTCCATCTATTTTAAGTTTTATTATGCCATTTTAGTTGAATAGTATTTTCATAATCTCTAAGTCCAATTACAGTTCTTAATTTTCAGAGCTTTTCAAAAGTTTCTATTTCTCATTCTCATGCATTAAAAATTTGTCAGTGCTATGTTGCTATGCTGCTTAAATCTCCAATCTCCATTCAAAGTAGTATATTTTCACTGACTTGAATAGACCAGGTCTAAATTCTATATATGCTTTAGAAAGCTGCATATGCATATAACCAAAAAAGTAGTTATAGTATTTCTTAAAGTGAAAAATTTAATTCTTAAAATAAACCTATTTATTCATTAATATAGAAGAACCTAGAATGTGTCAAGTAGGAAGGGACGCTTGAAAATCATCGAGTTCAACTCCCTGCCACTCACAGGACTGCCTAAACTAAACCATATGACTGAAAGCATCATCCAGACATTACTTGAACTCTGACAGGCTTCATTCCATGATCTCTTCCCTGGGGAGACTGTTCCAGTGACCGAGCACCCTCCCAGTGAAGAACCTTTCTGTAATGTCCAATCCAAACTTGCCCTGATGCTGCTTCAATATATAGTATTCAATATACAACATCAGAACTGCCTTTTTGGGTACATTGAAGGTCTGTTTAGTTGATTTTGCCTTAATGCCTAGTAGTTTAAAGGTCAGCAGAGGAGCAGAGCTTCTCAATTAGCATACTTTCTTAAGCTGTAGGTAGGAGATGTTTATGGACTTTTTGAACTACAGGCTCAGCAATAATTGGTAACATTTTCTACCACCTATTTTTCCAGTAGCTTGTCAGATTCTAAAAACCCAGCTTTTCTTCCTTGTTGCCAGTTGGTGGGGGGGAAAAAAAGAAAGTATGCTATCCTTTCCTTTTTCTCTGTAAAAATGTAACATATTAAAATGTTAATGGTTTTTAATTTATTCAATTTTTCTTAATTTTTTTTCTGGATAAAAGAAATAAGTAAAAAAAAAAAACACAACAAAACACCAAGCCTGTTGTGATTTAGTATATAATGTTAAACTAGAGAAACTACTGAAAATATTTCTGAAGTTGCTGCTCTCTGTGATTACCAATAATGTGATAGAAAAGATGTATGCATACTTTTCATGTTCATCTTTTACTGTGCCTGAGCTCTGGATACTTTGTAAGAAAATAATGCTAAGTTATTCTTTCTGACTCTAAACAAAGCATTCTCAGTAATCATAATACTCTCTTTGAACTGTCACTGAGTTCAAAGTGGAGAATATAAGCAAAAAAACACGTAGGG